CGGAGTGTCTATGCGCATGTTTCGAGCGTTGTTTCACAATCCCCAACGTACTAGGGTGTGATTTCCTTGTGGCACCCCGACTCTGAAGAAAACATCCCTATTTTTACTTTTATGACATGCTTGTTAAAAGGACAGTGGGTCTATCCCCACCCTTTATAAATGGGACCCAGGGGATTTCTTTGGATAATAAGAATTAAGAACGCACAGACAGTTGGTTACTTTGCTCCGTAGGGTAAAGAGAGAGAGGATAGTACCTCACAGTGAGTGGCAGCCATATCCGTGTGGATAGTCTAGGATCCTATTTGGTTCTCATCTCTTTACCTAGCTCATGTATGGCTCCACGAATACCGCTTGTGTACGGCGGTGGCCACACCACGGGCAACAGTCTTGGTTGACTGGCTAAACTACATGAGTGAAGTGGGAGTAATATCCTACTAAGGGAGATGTTCATCCCTAGTACACAAAGACTGGGACGGTAAGCAAGGCGAAAGAATCTAATTATATAGATCAACGGCTTGCAAAGCGAAACAGCAAAGTGTGTGGCACACATGAGGCGTGTTGGGACACGAACGAAAACATGGCTAGCCATCGTGGAAAAGATTGGGACATTACCACGTAGCACCCAAAGACAGTAATGGAAGCACAAGTTAGAAAAAGCGATGCAGGCACATCTTGGCCCCCAGGAATAATGCCTGTTGTAAATACAAACAGGGAAGAGACAAATCCTCTGTTGACTTGGGTAGAGCATAATGACGAGTGCGCCTTGAATTCTTCTGAAAGGGCACATTCTGACAACGCATATCTGAAAAGTAGAAAGAGATGTCTTCGCATTGGCACATGGAATGTTAGAAGGTTATATCAAGTTGGAAAATTTGACTGTTTAATGTCTAAGGCAAAGAATATGAATTTAGATATTTTGGGAGTATCAGAAACAAGATGGACAGAAGCTAGCTGCCTAAAGAGAGATGATTGCATATTTATTAATTCTGGAGAACATCATGAACGTGGAGTAGGATTCTTGATAAAAAGAAATTTAGAGAAGTTTATTAGCGGGTTCTGGGCTTACAATGACAGAATTATATTGATCAAGATCAAGGCAAGACCTTTTGATATTGCAATAATAGACAAATGCACCAACAACGGACTACGGTGATGAACAGCTTGAAGAATATTATGAAGAACTACAACAAACACTGAAAGTTGTAAAATCATCAGAGGTCTTAATAGTTATGGGAGACCTGAATGCAAAAGGCAGACAGCGTTACAAGTGGGAGGATAACATCAAGAGATGGACGAACAGCAGTATGACCGAGTGTACATCAAGGGCAAGAGACAGGGCTTGTTGGAGATTCATTACAGCCAACCTTTATTGCGGAGACGGCAGATTGATTGATACGGTCGAACGAGGATTTACATCGGTAAAACTGGCTTTTTAGTCACTGATCCAATCTTTAAAACTGAAAACCCAAAAAAGACTTTTAAACTTGTAATATTAATTTATTGTGTGTAGTTGAAAGGCAAAAACGTGGTTTCTAGTCATGTAACAGATTCTTTGGTGCCAGAGTGACATAATAAAAAGTGGACGTCAATGTAAAACTTCTGAGTCCCATGGGGATTAAGTTAAATACATATAAAAGATTATAAACTATACAGTGGAACAAACAACATATAGCTTCTGGTCGTCAGACACAACACACACTCACTCTCACAAAAGTTTCACCCACTGAGTTTTGTTGACAGCTTAAAGTAGAGCACATTCAGTTGCTGGGTTCAGAAAAAAACATTATTCTTACTTACATGAATTGTGATGCTTATATATTCTCACAACTCAACAATTGGTCTTACAGCTGTCAGTCAGCAATGGTAGTGCAAATGCAATTATAAAAACAGATTTTCTAGTGCTTGCGCAAGATGGGTTCTTCAACGTCCCACAAATGACAACAGATTGCAGAGGAATGCATTTCAATCCTGATTGTTACAGGTGACGAAACCAGGGCACGTCATTCTGAACCTGCGACAAAAAGACACTCAGTGGAGCAGCATTCTCTACAATCACAATAATGTTGTTCGCATACGATGTCTTTGTGTACTGACGAGGAAGCCACAGGCATGAAATTACTATTACACTACAGCATGAATTAGACCGACTCAGTGAGTGGTGCCAGGAATCAAGCGCACAGGTAAACCCGGCAAAGGCTTCCTTAACATGGTTCTCCTTGAAAACTCACATTGCATACCTTTGCCAGTCTTGGCATGTGCGGTATAGACATCGATGGAACGAATATAATGAGATACCTCGGCACAGCTTTCGACAGATGCTTGACATACAAGAATCATGAAGACAATATCATAGCTAGATTCAGGAAAGATATGATGGTTCGGAAGGCGATGACACATGCCGACAATGAACAACGCCTTCTGTATCTGCTCTATCAGGGACTAGTACTAAGTGTCATAGAATAGTCTAGGCCTCCACACTGTCAGCAGAACCCAGCTAGAAAAACAAGACCGGGTACAAAATGAGGCCATGAGACTCATACTTGGCTGCAAAAAAAGATACCTCGTGCCACGGTGTATGTCCTGGGTTTGACAATGGTTACCAGACAAAAAGTGCCACAGGTGAAAGCATACATGGGGATACCAGCAGTCATCAACCACCCACAGCACAATGCTATCAATGATATAAAAGTGATGCATCTCAAGAGGATCCTCCTTGATGGTCGAGGCAGAAAATCTAATCCAGTATGTGTGTGACCTAAACAAGATCAGTCACGAAAAAAATGGACAGATACATGAATAGACATGCATGACCAGTATCTAGAAACTGCCATATGCATTTCCTGAATGTGCATATTTCTGGATTGTTTCGGGACTAATTGTTTGTTCACCAGTATTGTAAATGGGACAGTGCAGGACATTTAATTTAATTTTCATTAGCACAGGAACAGAGCAAATATGAGGGCACCCAATTGCAGCAAAGTTAAAACCTCGACTAAGACTAAGACAATCACTACCAAACAAATAAAAATTCAAGACAACTGCTTCAGCTGGAAAGGTCATGATCACTGTTTTTCAGGACATGGAAGGTGCGATTCTTGTCGGTGTTATGCCTAGAGAAGAGACAATCAGTTCACAAGCTTACATTAAGACACAGGGGGAAAAGAAACTCAATGTTTTCAAAGTTCAGCCACACAAGAAGCCAACAGACATGCTTCTATTTTATAACAATGATAGCCCTCCTACAAGTCTGGCCCCACGGAAAGCAATCACCAAAGTGGTTTTGGGCTGTACTACATTATCAATACTATAGACCCGATTTGGTTTTAAAAATGTAATTCGCAGGACACGTTTTGAAGATGATGAAGTGATCCATGCAGGGATTAAGAAATAGCTATATGGTCAAAACAAAATCTGGTATGGGCTAGGAATACATGCAGGTATTTCACGTTGGCATAAAGCCGTACAAGTGGATGAGGATAATGTTGAATAATACTGATGTTTACATGAAATATCCCTATATATTAGATACCTTCTGTCAACCAAAGCAAATCTCATAACAACGGGTTGTTTGGTCGACATTGTTCTACCAATGCCAAACATGGACCCTTACTACAACTAATGAGCGGAAGATCGTAACAGAGATGAGACGTCTTAGGAAAGCTGCTGGTGTGATTTTAAAAAAAAGATAAAATTAGGAATTACAGGAATTAAAACATTTAGAAGAAAATTAGAACTGAAACAGGTCATTCAATTCATTAAAGAACAAGTGAGATGGTTTGGCCACCTGACAAGAATGCCCTGGTACCAACTGCCACAGAGAACCACGCCGTAAAAAATATAATGAACACAGAGTAAGGGGAAGATCACGCAAAATATGGAGCAACCTAACAGAAATAAAAACCAACTTTTATAATGTGCTAGTAAAAGCGCACAAACGATACTTACATCTCCACCCAACACCTTCATGAGGTAAATGGTGGAAGTGAAGAAGAAGAAGAAGAAAAAGAAGACAAAGAAGAAGAAGAAATTTCGTGCTTTTTGTCCTGAGAAAAACATTCAGCACCACTTGGTGGTAAACTGATGTACGACAAGCTAGATATTGTGAGGGTCCTTTGGGAGCGGGCGAACAGTAAGAAGGCACAGATAGATCATTACTGTCTAGGAGAATGGCGCTGCGAGGAGTTACCAGGGGAACTGGCCAATGCTCAACGGAAAGGCAAGATGAATATACAATTACTGGTACCATCAGAATTGGAAATCTTAGCTTGCTCCTGCAGATGGGGACAGAGTGCTCGGAGTGTCTCGAGTGCTGTGTCGATTACATTTTTTCAACATTAAGAAACAACTAAGGTGTCTTACTTTCTGAACACTTTTTATATTAACGTGCACAAACATATACAACATATGTTGAACAAATATTAGCATTCACATCACAGACACTCACAACACATGTTTAGGAGCAGTGAATCAACATCACCTGTCAGAATGATGGACTTGGAAGTCAAGATCAGCATAGCAAACAAACGAGTCACACACCAGAGCACCTGTTAATCAATAGAGAACTGATACTTTTAGAGACCGGATGCTGAGGCTCATACCGAGGGGAGGATCTGAGCACCTATGGACATGTCTGGAGTGCAATGATGATAAGCCAACTAACAAACTAAAAATTTCGGTCAAATATCAACATTCACACACACACACACGTTGACCAAATATCAACATTCACACTCACACACACATATGTTTACAAATACCAATATTCGTAGACACTCACACACAACATATGTTGACACATACCAATAATCATAGACACTCACACACAACATATGTTAACAAATACCAATATCGAAGACACTCACACATAACATATGTTGACCAAAATGTTTTCACAGGCAACCCAACAAAACAAAACATGCTGACCAAATATTAGCATTCATAGAAACATTCAAAACAGAAGTCAACTAAATGTGCATATATTTTCTATTTTATTTCTTTAGTTACAAGCCAGGAAGTATTCTTCCTTTCTTTATCAGCTTCTTCCTCTTTTTATCCTTGTTTTCATTTTTACGCTTCTGAATATTCGTTTGACGTTTCTGTTGTCGCTTCTGTTGTGACTCCTCTACAGTCTTCACTCGGCCATCCCATGACTTCTTTCTTTTTTCCTTCATTTTATCTTTCCTCTTTGCTGCCTTTTTCAAGAGGTTCGGATCATCCTTAACCTTCTCTCCCCGTGCTTTACTTAGCACTGCCTGCCACTGAAATTTTTCTTCCAGCTTTTTACCTTTTTCCAAATCTTTCTCTTTTAACTTTTCAACTTTCTCTTTCCGCTTCTCCACCTTTTCCAATAACCTTTTATAATCTCGACCACGTAGATCAGAAGTTCTGGAAGGAGTATCACCCTTGAAGGAAACTGAAAAGTCAAATTTGGTTGTTGCTGATGCTTTGTTTTGCTTCTGTGACGAAATCTCTGGCTGAGATTTTGTACCTTCAGTCACTGCATTCATCTTCTGTTCCTTGTTAGTCTTATTGGTTTTCTTAGCTTTGGCATTCATCTTCTTCTGTTGCCGTTTGAGCTTCTTCAGTTCCTGAGGAGTTGCATCACCTGCGTTTCTTTGAGCTGTGAAGATAACATTATTGTGAATCAGTCAGCAAAACAGACATTACAACAGAAGAAGGCAATAGCAATGCAGACATTAAAATGGTATTAAGAGCCTATAGCAAAATACACATTACAAACGAAGAGGTTCCCTATATAATAATACAGCACACTGGCAACTATGAACCTCTTTTAACTAGCCAAAAGGCACAAAATCAATGGTATGGACATGTAATAAGATCTAAAGGCCTCCCAAAAAACAACACTGCAGGGCTCAGTAGAGGGTGAGAGGAGAAGAGGTAGACCAAGAAAGACCTGGTTACAAAACCTGATTGACTGGAAAGACCTCAGGCATGAAACCATAAAGTCCATCGCAAATGATCGCTAGAGGCGGAGGGAGCAGATCAGACAGTCAACGGAAACTGGTGACCCAATTACACGCAGTATTATGGGATGATGATGATGGCATAATAGGTCCATTGCTGCCATAATCTAAAGAGCATGGAGTCCTATTTGATATTTCATAGCAACTACCTCCACATGATTCCTGAAGAACAGGCTTTTATCAAAAATGATACCCGGGTACCTGAGTTTGCTTTCTCTTTTGATGTTTCCCGGCATTAATTATGTAGCTGGGAACATTAGATATTACCATTTTTATTGCCCAGAGAGATATATCTGCATGTGTGTCTACTTGTGTGTTTGTGGCAATACGTGGAAAAAAAAAGGTTTTTTTTTACTACTGCTCTGGGTAAATACTCGCTTCTCAAAAGTTTTGTTGCTTTTGCCAGCCAAGCTAGGACATCTGTCACAAACATGTAATATGGCAGGTTTCAGCTGACAAATGAGAAATTAGTTCAAATGTCCATCAAAGTAAATCAATCTTACCAAATTAAATCAATCCTATCACAGTAAATCATCCTATCAAAGTAAATAAAACCAATCAACAACAAAAAATCATATCACAGTAAATAATCCAACTAAATGACCTATCTGTGTAAAGAAAAGAAATTCTTCATCTTATCTATAACTTTTTGAAAGACAAAAAATTGAGATTTTAGACATTTCTGCTGGTCCTAAGAGCCCTCGTAATGCTGGTATGCTGGGTTTGATCCCAGCAGCGGGTCATGCACCTTGAGTTGGTTTCGACAGTGGTATCAAGAAAGCCGACAGTCCAGAAGGCAATGGCAAACTACTGGACGTAAATTTGCTTTAAAAAAACCACACAACAGCCAGAGGCTGTTAGGGTTAGTTTTGCGACGTCCTGTAAAGGATATACAACTAACCTAAAAGCTCTTTTTTATTTTAAATTAGTCTGTAAAATAAAGGCACTGTGTTATACTCTTAATGTAATACATATATTATTTAACATACCTTTAACTTCCTCTAACTTCTTTCTTAATTTCTCTTTCAGCTCTTCCTGTCTTGACTCTCTCTTTTCTAGCTCTTTTCCTTTGTTTTTGTTCCCTTTGGCCGACCGACTCAACTTTTTACCTTTGTGTTTCTCCACTGCAAAAGAGGGCAACATTAACAAGATAAATTTGATAAATGCTAATAGAGATTCTGCCAGTCAAACTGACATTTATTCTTAACATTTACCCCCATTGAGCACAAGCCCTTAACGCTCTTCTGCTTGTGTTCATTCAAAGACTTTAATGCCCTTGACAACACAGCTGCAATATTTGCACCTTTCGACCGACATATCTAACTTCTGCAGGCATTTGTTGCCTGGGTAAGCCTTCCCTGGCTAGTTTCATGGGACATTAGTCATCTTAGTTTCCTAGTTCACAGATGGTGCACCCTATCAGGCCGATCCTGTGGAGCCCTGAAATGCTGGTCAGCCCTCAAAAGTAGGCAGGGGCAGAACATGAACATTGCCCACAACCCAACTGACATTAGCAGACATTCTTGCATATAGGCAGGGGAGAGATCAGAATCAAATGACTCAAGAGTTGCAGGCGACAGATAAGGTGATCGACTGGTGTACAGAGATGAATGCTGAAATCAACTCAAGAAAGGCAACCGTCCTGTGGTGTTCTTTGGACAACAGAACTGTTAGAGCTGATGTTTCAAGCCTCAAAATAAATGGCAGGGACATCAAGAGACAGCAGAAATGAGGTACCTGGGAATCACCTTTGACAGAAGCTTGTCTTTTAAGGATCACTTAGAGGTGGCTGTGTCAAATGCCCAAAAAGGTCTAAAGCAATGGACATGGAACAAAGAATGCTGTTCACACTATACCAGTACTTAATCATCTCAGTGAATGTTTATAGACTGGGTTAGTTCACCGTCTCAAATTGTCAGCTGCTGAACCTGAAGTGCATACAGAATGAAGCTATGCAGGTGATCCTGTGATGTACAAGAGACACTCCAATTGTGTGCATGCGATACATCCTTGCATTGCTGACTAATGCAGACAGGCTAAAGGTGCTGCAGGCTAAGTTATACCTCAGAGTATCTGCAGACAGGGAACACCCTCTGTATGAAGCTTTAGCTGCGGTTAGGCATCAGAGGCTGAAAAGGGGAAAATCATGGATGGCTCAAGCAGAAGACACAATAAGACAAGTATGCATGCTGAAGAACATTGGGCGAGGAGAGGAGTGGGTCAGAGTACCAGAGAAAAAGTCTGACCTATGTAGGGTCATGATCACTTTAGACCAGGAGTGCAGAGAGCGGCCAGCAGGGGCTACTGAAGTTAAAGTCCAACAGTTTATTCCCGACAATTCTCGCCCTGATGATCTTATTATCTACACAGATCATTCTGTAATGAATGTTGAATTAAGAATCAACATTCCAGCACTTGGGACACTCCAATAAGTGATACATCCGCATCTACAGTAGCTAGCGAAGATTTCCAATTCCAATGGCAGCAGTAGCTGTCTGATTGTTTATCGGTCTGTCTCATCCTTTCCCTAAGTGTTGCGCGTCGGCCACATCCCCTGGTAACTCCTCCCAAAGACATTCTCTTTAGACCGTAATGATCTATCTATGCATCTGCACTGTTCACTCATTCCCTCACAATATCTAGCTTGACATACATCACCTAGTGATGCAGAATCGAACAGTCTATCTGCCCGCTTATTCTCCAAAAAACCGGCATGACCCGGAGAAAATATCCAAAGAATGCTAACTGTACTGGTTCTGTAATGAGAGGGAAGAGAAATGGCTGGAGTTTCCTAGCGAAAGCCAATGGAAAATCTTTAGTGCAGGACAGCCTGGCATATGATACCACAACATCTACCACAAGAATGGAGGTGAAGGCAGTCACTGCAGCTTGCCAGTGGCTAGAGAACAAGATACACATGTCGTATTTGTTAACAGACTCTGAAAGCATGCTGAAAAAGGTAAAGACAGAATTGCTATGAGCCTTACTTCCAAGGTCACATGTAGTGAGCACACTTTAGATCTTTTCTCCAGGCGATGCCGGCAGGTGGGGAATAAACAGCCAGACAGACTGGCTTGATCTGCACCCCTGGGTGGTAAATTGATACATGACAGGGCAGATATGGTCAGAGCCCTTCGGGAACAAGCAACGAAGTCAGAAGAGGAACTAGATTATTATGGGCTGGAGAGAATGATGAACCTGGGTGTGACCGGAGGGTACGGCCGGCACACTACGCTCAGAGGAAAGGCAAGACGGACATACAACCAGATTATGATCATTAGTATTGGAACTGTGCTGGCTGCTGAGGATGGAGACAGAGCACCTACTGGAATGCTCCGAGTGCTGTGATGTCAATTCTTAACTCAACTCCCTGCCGCCCAAGGAAGCTCCCATAAATGCAGAGCTAATACACTGTGCTTTGCTACTGGGCTCACCCAAGGAATCGTCACAGCCTGCTCATGACTGTTTAACCTCACTTCTGTATAGTGGGCCTCTTACTGATCACAGGCTTTATCTAAAGGCCCAAAGAAGGTAGCCTGCAGACCTGGGATTCCAATTACCTACATAGAATGAGTACAATGCTTCTTATGCATGTTAGACTTTTATTGCAACAGATTTCTTCGATATGACATTTTTTTTTACACAGATGCTTAGGTGCATTCAGTGGGACAGAATTCGGACAGATGGATTTGTTTCATACTTTTCCCACTTCATGGTTTCTGAACTCTGCATCTCTAAGGACTACCAGCTCTGAAGTCCCTTGAGAGTTTTCTTCTTCTTACGTTTTCAGATGTTAATGTGAAAACCAGCTCACTTACAGCTGTCTGTGTCTTTTTTTTTTCAAATAGTGTTTTCAGGAGGATAAAGTAACCAACAATAAGCCACCCCAATACTTATAATCCTCATAATACATGCCTGGAAGGGAGGGCGCAGTGTCACTATCCTTTGCTTCTCCTAAAGACTCTGTAACATACAGCCACTGACACTTACAATATAACTAACAATTAGACAATATAAGACAATGATTCTGAATGATGACACAAAACAATCATCATCATCAAGTGCCTTGCCAACTGACGTAAGCTTTCAGGCATTTCCACAGATCTCAGCCTCTGGTGATCTAGCTCATTTCCACTGATGATATTTCTCCACACCACTGACTTAAGCCATCCATCATCGCTTGTCTTGGTCTGCCTCTCCTAACAGTGATCTTTCCAATCGTCACGAGATTTTCCACTGCTCCTTTTCTTATCACATGACTAAAGAACTTTGTTTGACTCCTTCTCATTGTTGTATACAATGTTCTGCTTTCATTAACCAAACAATTGGTTGCACAGTTTACTTTCTTGCTTTATCTGCTGTATCTCCTCGGGTGCACAGTACTGTAACAACTGATTAAAATGAAGCAAATTAATGAATTCTTCTAACTGCAACAAAAAAATCAGCTTCATTCAAACGGAACTGCCTGTTTCACCAGGGCAAGCACAGGTTCATGACAACTTCCTTCTGTCTGCATAAATCTAGATGGAACCGGTGTACTGTTATGGTTTCCACATAGTGGAGCATTCTACAAATGGCTGAAGTAAACATAATTCGGAATGCATTGGTTCTGTTTATAGTATGGCTAGATTTTAAAAAGTTCTCAGTATGAGCTACTTCTTCTTCACCAGCATTCCGAGCCGTTGGGGTTCATTGCTGCAGATATCAGCCGCCTCCACTCAATCTTTCTAATTAATTTTGTACTGCTACTTCTTCTTCTTCACCAGCTTTCTGAGCCATTGAGGTTCATTGCTGCAGATATCAGCCGCCTCCACTCAATCTTTCTGGTTGAATTTGCACTACTTCTTCTTCTTCTTCACCAGCTTTCTGAGCCATTGAGGTTCATTGCTGCAGATATCAGCCGCCTCCACTCAATCTTTCTGGTTGAATTTGCACTACTTCTTCTTCTTCTTCACCAGCATTCTGAGCCATTGAGGTTCATTGCTGCAGATATCAGCCGCCTCCACTCAATCTTTCTGGTTAATTTTGTACTGCTACTTCTTCTTCACCAGCTTTCTGAGCCATTGAGGTTCATTGCTGCAGATATCAGCCGCCTCCACTCAATCTTTCTGGTTAATTTTGTACTGCTACTTCTTCTTCTTCTTCACCAGCTTTCTGAGCCATTGAGGTTCATTGCTGCAGATATCAGCCGCCTCCACTCAATCTTTCTGGTTAATTCTGTACTGCTACTTCTTCTTCTTCACCAGCTTTCTGAGCCATTGAGGTTCATTGCTGCAGATATCAGCCGCCTCCACTCAATCTTTCTGGTTAATTTTGTACTGCTACTTCTTCTTCTTCACCAGCTTTCTGAGCCATTGAGGTTCATTGCTGCAGATATCAGCCGCCTCCACTCAATCTTTCTGGTTGAATTTGCACTACTTCTTCTTCTTTGCCAGCATTCTGAGCCATTGAGGTTCACTGCTGCAGATATCAGCCGCCTCCACTCAATCTTTCTGGTTGAATTTGCACTACTTCTTCTTCTTCTTCACCAGCATTCTGAGCCATTGAGGTTCATTGCTGCAGATATCAGCCGCCTCCACTCAATCTTTCTGGTTGAATTTGCACTACTTCTTCTTCTTCTTCACCAGCATTCTGAGCCATTGAGGTTCATTGCTGCAGATATCAGCCGCCTCCACTCAATCTTTCTGGTTGAATTTGCACTACTTCTTCTTCTTCGCCAGCATTCTGAGCCGTTGAGGTTCATTACTGCAGATATCAGCCGCCTCCACTCAATCTTTCTGGTTAATTTTGCACTGCTACTTCTTCTTCTTCAGCATTCCGAGCCGCTGAGGTTCATTGCTGCAGATATCAGCCGCCTCCACTCAATCTTTCTGGTTAATTGTGCACTGCTACTTCTTCTTCTTCAGCATTCCGAGCCGCTGAGGTTCATTGCTGCAGATATTAGCCGCCTCCACTCAATCTTTCTGGTTAATTTTGTACTGCTACTTCTTTTTCTTCAGCATTCCGAGCCGCTGAGGTTCATTGCTGCAAATATCAGCCAGCTCCACTCAATCTTTCTGTTTAATTTTGCACTGCTACTTCTTTTTCTTCAGCATTCCGAGCGGCTGAGGTTCACTGCTGCAGATATCAGCCGCCTCCACTCATCTTTCTGGTTGATTTTGCACTGCTACTAACTAGAATTGGTGTGCAGGGTGTGCTTGCACAACTGGAGAAAAGCCCGCTAACATCTCTCTCTCTCTCACTCTCGTTGCATCCCACCAGGACATCAAACAAGCGATAAACACCCGGTGACACAAAGTGCCACCATGCGGATGAGGATCACCCGTGGAGTGGTCCCAGAAGCCCCTTTCAGCCATTAGGCCATATTAATGGCCCAGCTATATTTAAGGCCCCTGGCATCCCCACATGGGGACGACTGTATAAGTGCAATCCGCTAACATCATGACCTGTGTGAGTCTACTCCTCTTCTACAAGTGTTGAGAAAGTATAGTTTAAAGCACCTGAAAAAAGGGACTTCTGACAATTGGAAATCTCTTGTTAGTCTAGCTCCATGGTAGATATGTAATAATAGGGCTATAATTTAGGTGACAGAACATCACAGGTATTGCATTAACTATCTTCACTTTCTTCAACAAACAGCTGGTACTCAATTTATGAGCTCATCCAAGAAAAGTACCAGTCAGTAAAAGGTCAACCCTGTCTCCGTCCCGGGCATTTAGCGTCCTTTGGATATTTTCTCCAGGTTATGACAGTGTCTTGGGAAATGAGCAGGCAGATAGGGTGACCAGTTCTGCACCACTTGGTGGTGAACTGATGTATGACAAGCTAGATGTTGTTGGGGTCCTTTGAAAGCTAGTGAACAGCATGGAGGCACAAACAGATCATTATGGTCTGAGGAGAATCGTGCTGCGGGGAGTTACCAGGGGAACTGGCCGATACTCACCACTTTAGTTACTGTTAATGGCAGGCTCAGAATTGGAACTCCTCACTTGCTGCTGAAGAAAGGAGTGGAGCACTCATGGGAGGGTCCTGAGTGCTGTGATGTTGATTCTTAATTCAACATCTTTTTGGGAGGTCTCTGCTGATAAGCAAACCCAGGACCACTGTGTTGACAGGCATACATACTAACAACTGCAACATAGCTCTCATGCAGGTTAAAATGACAACATTTACTTACCAATCTGTGCTGCCTTGTCAACACCTCCACTAGCATCCACTATTTTAGGCTTGGACATCTGCTTGCCGGCTCCTGGAAACAAAATTCATTTCAATTACATCATTTAGGAAAACATCTTTCACACAGCATGAACAAGAGTTACTCAAACTATTAACTCTTCATTATCTCCATTCTTTCCTTTCAGATCAGGTTTATCTGGTGAATATTCACATACATGTTACAACCTCAGATTCCAAATCTCTCTGTTTTTGATGTGCCCGATTGCCAGAGCTCTTTGTGGGGCAGTATCTTGTGATAATGTTGACACACTTCTGCATTTGCCTTGAAAAAAGATAGTATGAACAGTGTGTTGTAGTTTACAGCTAGGCTGTAATATCTGTATCTTTCAGCACACTAAATAAGATTTTAATAAATCCAAAATCCCCTGTGTGTTTTAGGGTCCCATAGTGGGGGAAAAACAGAGAATAGATCTCCCCCTCCTCCCCCCCCCCCCCCCCCCCCCCCCAGCTAATCGTAAGAGTCAACAAATCAGGGGTTTTCTTCAAAGTTTGAGTTCATTTACACTTTTATATCAGATGTTTCACTGCGACACCCTTCTATGTCCTCTTTCAAACCTCTAAACGCCCATCTTTGTTGGTGCAGATGAATACACTTTATATCAGATGTTTCATTGCACTGACTGGGACTGTCTTGTGTTGTTGGGGAAAGGGGATTCTATTTGTTGCAATGCTCAGGTTTTCCTGACTACACTGTAGGTTAATGTCTTTGTTTAATTCGCCACTTTTGGTAAGCGCTATTCCCAGTTGTTTAAACTCTAATGCCTGTTTAATACGTCTGCCCTCTATAACTACATTCAAGTTATTTCATATATATAAGAAGTGGAGTCGTACACCTACATGTTTGATAAAGATGGCAGAACTGATAGAGATATTGAAAATACAAATACAAAAGGCAAGAAGAGCTATCATAGCACTAGGGAATTTGTAAAGGTCAAAAGAAATTACAACTGATAACTAAACTTAAAATTTTTGAATTCTAATGTTAAATGAGAACTGTTGCAAGGAGCAGAAACATAGAGAACAACTAAGGCAAATACTAACAAACTACAAACATTCTATATTGGGTACCTGTGCAGAATAAAGGAAATTAAATGGTATGATAGAATCACTAATGTAAAGCTTTGGGAGAGAGTTCCAGTGGTCTAAGAGGTGAAGAAAAGACGGTGGGGTTGGATAGGACACACGCTGAGAAAAACCTCAGAACAATATAACTAGAATGTCTTTGTGCTGGAACCCCCAAGGATACAGAAATAAACGAAGACCCAAAAAACACAAAGAAGGGAGCTAGACAGTAAAGTTAAAAAGATGGGGAGGACATGGGGAGTGCTGCATGTAATAGCAAAAGATAGGACAACCTGGCATGAGTTGGTTGAGGGCCTATGCTCTATTTGGGGTCAGAAAGGCAGAAAATGGAGATATATGAAATAATTAAAATTTATTAAATAAGGTAATGAGTTCAACTGATACATACCAGCCAGCCCTCCTTGATGTCTATTTTCAATAATCTCTGTCACAGACAAGGTGGTAAATGGATTCACAGATAGCCTCCTTCTCTTCTTATTTTCTGGACCCTCAGCTTCGTCGTCTGTGTCCCCTAATGCAGCAATCAAATCACAAGTCAAGCTTTATGCGGTGGAGGAGGAGGAAGCAGAGAAAACGGAACAGGAGCAGGATGAGGGTAAAAAACAGAACAACATCAAAAACAACAAGAAATCTGACTGTCTTTCATTATGTGCGACAAATTCTTCTTCTTCAGGAACCTCATTCAAAAAAGCTTTTGGTTCGTTGTATTGTGGTTTACAGCTAAGCTCTAATAGCAGCTTCTGACCAATTAAATTGACTTTATGGCCTAATTCGTCGCTGTTTACGTTATGCCTGTTAGGATGCAGTGGGTCAATTCTTTTCCCCCTCATAGTATTATCCAATATGTATCCACATAACGTTAAAGTCTTCATTCCACCTCTTTTGTTGATAAAATATTGAAAGGCCTTTTTTAATGAAATTAGCACATCAGGTTTAAGATGCTAGACTCAGGAAAGGCTAACCCGGTCAACAAATGCCTGCAGAAGCGGGATGTGTTGGCTAAAAGGTACAAATATGACAGCCTGACATAAACGGGCACAAACCAATTACACCTTCAGATGGACACAGAAGAAGAAGAAGCTTGACTCATATTAAGTGAAAATCAGTGTTTCACAAATTTGTTTGGCGCACAGCCATCTTTTCAATGAAAGAGATATCCAGCCTCCCCCTCCCCCACCCCACCCCCCTTTTTTTTTTTTAAATCCTCCCTGAAAATGTCATCATCATGTACCATGCTGAAAATCATAGGCGGTCACCATTCGCCATCCTACACGATCAGTAGAATACTGGATCCGATGATGCTCTTGTACTGCCCATGCATATGGCCAAGCTGCCAAGGTATTTTTTCTCTTTGTTTTTCCCATGTCTACTTTCTAGAAATACTGCCAGTTGTCACCAAATTCCCGAGACTGTTCCTTGTACTGAAACATGCCTTCTGTAATCGAACAGAGTAATATAATGATAATTTATTTTTTTATCATCTTTTTTCTTTGCCTTACAACATGCCATGATCTGTAATTTATGTAAGTTTCTCTCCAGTTCAAATTCTTAGATTGTGGTAAGACTGTGTTTGGCATTAAAACTCTGAGGCAGATGGGGTGACAAGGTTTCCCGTAGCCTTCGCAGGCTCTGCCTTTCCATTTTTAGTGATTTATAGTTGAGTGAAATTCACTGCTAGACTAATTATGTTCTTGGGGACAGCATTCAGATGGCGTTTTTGTTTGTCTGTTTTAACAGCTGATGCTGTCTTGTTTAGAGCGTAAGATGGCTGTGTAAAAATGACAGCTTTTTATTTACTTAACCCTTTAGAGATGACGTGGAAGAAATATCGGCCTGACACAAGTACCAAAGGGACAACTGGGCTGATTGGTTGGCGTTGTGTAATACAAGCCTTGAGATTGGCTGGCAGGTTTTCGCATCAGCCAATCAGATTGCTTCTTGCATATTTGGGCTGTTCACTGACGGCTTTTGAGAAAGTTTGATGTTTTCTGTAATTTTACATCAATTTTTATCTGGGGTAAATTGTGCCCGACAATAGCTAAAAGGACTGTTGCATCACAGCAACCGAAGAATAGCTAGAGGCAGGAAAACGAGTAGAACCATGTACCAGAAGTGTCTGAAGTGCCTTCAACGAGCTAACTTCCCAAAACACAAGTCGTGTTAGGACTTGTTCAGGCTTTATCCATCAAAAAAATTCACCTACATTTTTTTAATTAGCCATGTCTGTTCCCAAGTTTTAAAAAAAGTCTTGTATAAATTATGCAAATAGGAATTGTTAATTTGAATAAATGATCTTTCAGTTTGATTCATAAATACTCTGTTAGCTCATTCAATTTCCTACACGAATATATATATATATATATATTTATATATATGGTTTTTTATATGTTCATTAAACGCTTTATTTTTTTTTTATTTTCTGTGTATAAACTAAGAGAATGCCCTCATGAAGACTTCATCTTTTTGGCACTGAAACTCCAAAAGGGCTCCATCTCCAGAGGGTTAAACTAGAGAACTAGTAGTTTGCTCAGTTTGAAGCCAGACTGCTGATTCTGCTCTGCAAGCTTCCCATGATGATTCTGAGTGTGTCTCAGTGGCAATTAGTGTATGTAATATAAATTCGCTCAGCTCCTTTTTACCAAAAGCGTCAGTGAACATAGTGTCAAACTGTTTTCTGAGTATACAGTGAAACCTCGCTTAACTCATTCCAGAATCATACTCGTAAAGCTAAACACTCGTTATATGAAACAATTTTTCTCATATAAATTAATGTAAAATACGATAATGCGTTCCATGTCGAAAAAAATACTCACAAAATGCTATGTATAAGTTATACTATAACATGTATTCAAAGAAAATTATATACATATTTAAGGAGAGTGAATCATCTTAATCTTTTCTTCAAACGCGGAACGAACCCACATAGAATGTGAATCCGATTTGCAGGGGAAAAAGTCGAAATAATTATGATACACAGCTAATTATTTTTTTACTAGAAAGATGTCCAGAGACTTTTGTTTTGTCGACGCTTTGAAATTTGGCGAAAATGCGACACAGCATTTTCATTAAATAAATTTGCAGCGCGCATAGCCACTTCCCTATTGGGGTGATGCTTCTCAATGTGAGAAGCAACAGTTTCCCATGCTTTCAGCATTTTTCCCATTTCGCCAGAAGATTGTTGCTTTTCTGTTACATTCTCCTCCTCTTCCTCTGACAAACTTTCCTCCAAAACGTCTTGCTGTGAAACACAATGCAACTCCATAAGCTCTTCGATGGTCAGCTCTTGGCTGCGCTCTTCCGCAAGCTCTTCGATATCACTGTTATCCACCTACAATCCCATGATAGTGGCCAAAGACACAATCTCGTTGACTACAGGTTCCACAGGTACTGTCTCGACCCGATCAAAGTCACAAATCGACAACACTATCCGGCCAAAGCTTCATCCAAGAAGAAGTTAAGGTTCTCTTGGTAACCCCTTCCCCCGCCTTGTCGTTCATCTTGAGGCAGGCAACGATGTGGAAGTGATTTTTCCAAAACTCTTTGAGAGTGAGGTTGGTCCCTTCAGTCACCTGAAAACAATTTTGGAAGAGTGCTTTAGTGTAGAGCTTCTTAAAGTTAGAAATAACTTGCTGGTCCATGGGCTGGAGTAACGGAGTGGTGTTGGGAGGCATAAACTGGATCTTGATAAACTTAAATTCATCAGGGAGGTGATCTTGTAGGCCTAGAGGATTCATGTACATACATCACAACTGTTTTATAACACAAGTTTGAGAAAAAGTGTGATCACAAGCAACAATGCTTTTGGAACGAGTGCTAAACACTGATGTAGCATGCTCAAAATCAGGGACTTCCCCTCTCCTCGCCACTCGTTATGCGAAACGTCGCTCATTAAGCGAGTCATTCTTTTACAATTTGTTTTGCTCGTTATGC